ACGTCGGTGAAAGTATACTTTCACCGACGTGGCTCATGTTGCTTAAAAGAGTGCACGGATGGGGGAGAATTCCGGTAACCATTTTTACCGACATGAATTATGTTGGTGATATTCCGGTTTCAGCAACAAAAAGTATGTTGCTAAAAATGGTGAAAAATTTCGGTGGTCGGTCCGGTGAATTTTTTAGCAACATGAACCATGTCGGTAAATCTCCATTTTCAGCAACAAGAGGTACGTTGGTGAAGAGGGTGCCAGGTATCAGCAACATGGACCTTGTTGCTGATACATTACCGAGCATGGCTTCACCAAGAAAGGCATTAGCAACATGCTTCATGTTGCTAAAGTACTTTTAGCAACATGCTTCATGTTGCTAAAGTACTTTTAGCAACATGAGTAGCACTTTCGCCGACGTGCTTCCATGTTGCTGAATGATGGAAATTTAGTAGTGGAACTTGCTAATTTCTTGATCCATGATCCAAATTTGAGCTAATTACTAGCCCAATCTTACTTCAGATCTTTTTCATAAAACATGTGACGCAGACAATGACTTGTTATGATTCAATAAAAAGAACAGATTCAAGAAAGCTACTCAAGTTGACTCTTTTTACAAGTAAACATTAGAAGAAAACTAAGCACACCTAGGTAGCAAAATTTTCTACAAGGAAGACTTATGGTTGTGGTGGAAAGGAGATAGTCCGAAATATGCAAATGGAGGGGAAAGATCTTGAATTACTTCCCACTGGAGGCTGGGGGGTTGTAGATTTTAATTATAAAAAAAGAAAATAAATAAAAACGTATGACTTATGTATCCATGCGTTCTGTATCAAAAAAGAATCAATTTGAATTGTTTCAATTTTATAACTTATCTCCCAGTTACTGCATCAGCTTTCAATGAATAATTCATCAGTTTCAAATCTTTCTTTTGTAACCGACAAATATCATTTTAAATTTTAACCTTTTCTCATTTTATTTGATTTGCTTTGGTTATATTTTGAAAGTCTATAATTTCTGCTAGACCCTCATGCACAATCTTTTTTCAACACTCATTTCGCATAGTATTTTGTTCTCTAACCCTCTCTTGGTCAGAGGAAAAGTGGCGTGATAGGGTTTGCTTTATAAAAGTGTGTAGAATTTATAAAGTTATAATGAGAAAAGGTTGGGTTGTTGTATCCTAAAAGCAATGTAACTATAAGAAATTATTCTACTAATAATACTAAACATTTTAAAGAATATGATTGATCTACACTAAAGAAGTAAATATGTAATATTTGTAAACTTATGTCCTTATATTTATAGTTAGGGTTTTATTGTAACTTGTATATATACTTACGATACTCTAATATTATGATGATTTGTTGCATACTTTCATCATCTCCTAACCTTTATGTTATATGGTATTAGAGCACCATCTTCTCTAACAAGTGGTTTTTTTTTTCTACGATCCTAATGGCAACATCTTCTACAAGCATCATAGGTTGGAAATTGGTTGCTCATTCAGTTGCCTCTTTTACTGCTTCTAATCAAGAATGGATTTTGGACTTTGGAGCTTCACATCATATTACTTCAAACCTGGCAAATCTCTCACTTTACTCTCAATATGATGGTCCTGATGAATTGTTAATTGGTGATGGTTCAGGGTTGAGAATAATTCATGTGGGCGAAACCCAAATTTCTACCCCTAATTCCTCCTTTCTATTATCTAATGCTTTTTGTGTACCATTTGTTTCCTGTGATTTAATATTTGTTTCTAAATTTTGTGAGACTAATAATGTTTTAATTGAATTTCACTCAACCTATTTCCTTATGAAG